AGTTTAGAAATTAATATTTTTGAATATTTTTCTAAATTATGTGAATTATTTGATTAATTATTGTGCTTAAATCTGATAATCCTATAGGGCTATCTAGTAGTATTTTGCATATTATTTTTCCACTATTGTAATATTATTATGCATTTTATTTTTAATCAGAATATAATTGCATAAATTGTCGTGTTCTGAATGTTATAGCCTTAGTTAGGAGTAGAATCCTAGGCTGCATATCTAGTTTAACTGCTAATCGTTTATGATTATGCACTCGCTTGATCACCTCACTTATTAGGAGAAAGGTCCTAAAATCAATTTAAATTGCCTGACAAATATTTTTTGAAATGAACAGGGTAAAAAGGTACCAAAAGGGCATTAGTTACCCAACTAGTGTAATCAAGTCCCCGAACTCATTTAATCTCTGGTTCGGAGTAGAGTGATTCTCCCATCACTTTACTTAGGTGTCTAATCGACCCACTCCAAACCGATTAGTGGCGACTCCTTGATAAAAATCATTTGCAGATTAAAAACCTAAACCTTAAGTTGCGATGTGGTATGGGTTTGAGAGAGCCCGAGTTAAGTCCCAGACCTAAATTTAGTTCGTACCAGGCGAGACCTCCTTTTTTATGTTAAAAACCAGAGGTCAATCGCAACAATAATTGCCACAAAGGAATTTCCAAATAATAATTAGACAAGCAAAAAATATCCAGAAAATCATATTCTCAAGCTCTGATACCAATTGTTGTACTATAACGCAGAAGCTAAGGTAGCGAATGATAACCATTCTGTTCCGGAATGAGTTCCTGAAACAGAAATAGCTTTTTCTATTTCTAGTTCCAGGATGAGTTTCTGATAAAAAAAACCCTTCTGATAACGAAAAAAAAAATTATTTTTGAAACAGAAACCCGTTTGATAACAGTACAAAACTTCTATTTCCTGAAACAAAAACCAGTTTGATAAACAACACAAAATTCTATTTCTAGGAACAAAAATCCATTTTTTTAGAAATGGAATAAAAATAATTAGAAAATCCAAAATATTCCTAAAAATCTCAAAAAAATTCAAAAAATCCAAAAAAATTGAAAAATTCTAGAAAAATTCATCACAATTTTCAAAAAATAAAAAAATTCAGATTTCGGGAAAATAGGAAATTTGTTGAATTTTTCAAAAAAATCAAAAATTTCAAAACTTCATAGAATGGCTTAAAATACCTGTGATCACCCACTTTTAGTGAAATTTAAATTTTTTTAGGTGCCCAAAAAAAATCAAAAAATCAAAAATTTCAAAACTTCACAAATAGTTTAGAATACATGTGACCACCCACTTTGAGTGAAATTTAATTTTTTTAAGGTGCCCAAAAAATTCAAAATTTTCAAAACTTCACTGAATAGCTTAGAATACATGTGGTCACCCACTTTGAGTGAATTTTTAATTTTTTGAGGTGAAAAAAAAGTGAAAAATCAAAAATTTCAAAAATTCACAGAATGACTTAGAATATCTGTGGCCACCCACTTTGAGTGAAATTTAAATTATTTAAGGTGCCGAAAAAAAAATAAAAACATAAAAAAATCAAAATTTTTAAAACTTCACAAAATTACTTAGAATGCCTCTAACCACCAACTTTGAGTGAAATTTAATTTTTTTAGGTGCCCAAATGGTATTTTTTATTTTTTTATTTTTTTCGACAACTAAAGAAAATTAAATTTCACTCAAAGTGGATGGCCACATGTATTCTAAGACATTCTGTGAAATTTTGAAATTTTTTATTTTTAGCTTTTTTTTCTTTTTTTCGGCACCTAAAAAAAAAATTTCATTCAAAGTTGGTGGCCACAGGTACTCTAAGACATTCTGTGAAGTTTTGAAATTTTTGCTTTTTTGATTATTTTTATTTTTTTTCGGCACCTAAAAAATTAAATTTCACTCAAAGTGGGTGGCCACAGGTATTCTAAGCAATTCTGTGAAGTTTTGAAATTTTTTATTTTTTTATTTTTTTCAACACCTAAAAAAATTAAAATTTCACTCAAAGTGAATAGCCACAGGTATTCTAAGCCATTCTGTGAAGTTTTAAAATTTTTGATTTTTTGCTTTTTTTAATTTTTTTAGGCACCTAAAAAAAATAAATTTTTGCTCAAAGTGGATGGCCACAGGTATTTTAAGCCATTCTGTGAAGTTTTGAAATTTTTACTTTTTTGCTTATTTTTATTTTTTTGGCATCTAAAAAAAATTAAATTTCGCTCAAAGTGGATGGCCACAGGTATTCTAAGCCATTCTGTGAAGTTTTGAAATTTTTTATTTTTTTATTTATTTTTTTTGGCACCTAAAAAATTTAAATTTCGCTCAAAATGGATAGCCACAAGTATTCTAAGCCATTCTGTAAAGTTTTGAATTTTTTATTTTTTGCTTTTTTTAATTTTTTCGGCACCTAAAAAAAATTAAATTTCGCTCAAATTGGGTGGTCACAAATATTCTAAGACATTCTGTGAAGTTTTTAAATTTTAGATTTTTTGATTATTTTTATTTTTTTTGGCATCTAAAAAAATTAAATTTCGTTCAAAGTGGGTGGCCATAAGTATTCTAAGCCATTTTGTGAAATTTTGAAATTTTTGATTTTTTTATTTTTTTTTATTTTTTTCGGCACCTAAAAAAATTTAAATTTCGCTCAAAGTGGGTAGCCACATATTCTAAACCATTATGTGAAGTTTTGAATTTTTTGATTTTTTGCTTTTTTTCCCACCTCAAATATCGTGACTTCTAGATGAACATGTGTTTTGAAGAAAGAGTTCTCTCAGAAATGATTCTTATTTTTGGTCTAGAAATAGAAAACGTACTTTTTTTTTGTTCTGATTTCTGGTTCAGAATCAATTCTGGAACAAAAAGTTGTTCCAGAAATAGAAAAATGAAATTACGTTACCAAATGAGTTTCTGGTCCAAAGTTATTTCTGGAAACAGAAAACCAGTTCTGGATAGAACCAGAATGGTTATCATGTGCTACCTAACTTGGATTTTGTAACTTAAATCAATGCGAAATCACTAAAGAAATAAATGAAGAACAATAAATGACACCAAAGATTTATGTAATTCAGTCCGAATATCAGTACCTATCAATAAGGAGAGCCAGTAATAAATAATACACTATAATCGAAGAAGGAATTATAATTATTCACACGCTCGAATGTTTTTCACGTCTATATTATATTCAAATTCAAAGTGTTTATAAATAAAATAATTCAATATGATATAAAACTTACAGCAGAAATCACCGGATGTTCAGGCTTAAAGCAAAGCTGTACGTACGGCTCAAAAACAAGAACGTCTAGACGTTCTTTCTCTTTTTTTCTTCGTGCAGCTACTCTTGCTTCAAGGAATCCCACGACTAAAGAACCTACTTTGCGGCTGCTTTCTTGGAGTCCTTAGGCCGCTTCCTTCAACAACCCATTGGCGGCCACGCTTCAAGGAAAAGAACAACCTAGGGCTAAAACTAAAAAGAAAACCTATATATTTTCTTTTCTTAAAACCCTAGCTGAGCCCCCGTTTCCTATATGTTATAGGTAACGTGGGTCCCCTTCTTTGTCTTGTAGTGGCAGAGGACTTCCCATTCATCTTTTTATTTCTTTCTCTTGTGCGGTCACAACTTCAGAAGAAAAAGAACCCACTCAATCCTTTAATCGGGGTCAGGTCTCGTACACGAGCTCAAACTCGATCAGAAACGATTGGCACGCGTGAAGTTGTGTTGTTCACAGGATCGAAGATTTTATTTGGAGACGTTGTCTCCATACAATCATTATTGTCCTGCAAGCTATAGTGACGGAATCTACACGGAACATACACTTAGCGATGATTCGTTGTTCTTCCAAAGAAGCAAGGCCCCACCTTCTGGGAAAGGGATTGATGCCCAGATGTTCAAGAACCGAGTTGAAGACTGGGTTCAAATGCTAGAATCGAGTGGTGTCGTATGGACAGTCCCTTGACTTGCAGGCCTCATTGCAGGATTAGCAGATCCTTAGAATTATCTGGGCTCATGCTCGTCTTGGGACCATCAATTTTGCTGGATTGATAAACCGATCGATTTTCCTCGTTATTTCTGCAATTCTCTTAACATGCACCGCAAATAACGTCGATTTCTTTTTCAGGGTCTTCTTCAAGTCCGAGCAGTCTTTACTTACTTCAATTGTGCAGAATGAAATCCTCACGAGACACCAAGAGTACTCCCACTGCTGATACTAGAAAATTCCGAACCTGAGTATTTTCGGATTCAAACTCGACACATGGAGGCGGGATCGCAATAACACCTCCACACACGTCTCCATTCATGGGGCAAGGTGAGGAAGGGAGAAATTGAACCCTCAGCAAGTTGTGCAGCTGGATTTAGTGGTATCACGAAACATATATAATCGAGTAAATTACCGCAATTCGGTAAGAAGTCCTTTTCTTTTGTCAAACTGGATTATTGTCACTGGGTCTGATCTTTGTTCATGTGTTTCTTTTAATGCAAAACTAATTCGAAATTAGCATCAAATGTATGCACTTAGGGAAGAAATCAAAGGGACAAGGTAGAACCTCTGAAACAATGAGTCGTCTTGATAGTAACTTAATGATCGAGATGAACAAATATAAAATAATCTGCGCGTGCTGAATTTATGTGGCAGCAATAAACTAATGTAGAATAACGAGACGTTAAACCACTATTGCCATACTAGTTTTGAAGTCCCATGCATTGCACGGACCTGAAGTTGATTGACTGAAATATTTCTCGTTAACAGATAGATATTCACAGCCATTAATTATGACCACTGCTCAACATCTGAAAAGTTCTTTTATAAAAAAAAAATGATTGATCTTCTCGTCATTGGAATCTTCTCTCCCAAAATATATAAAAAGATCTTTCAGTCCGATTAGATGGATTGAATTAACTTTTGTACATTGAGGGCCTTATAGTATAGTAGGATCCACCTACTTTATTTATGGACCGGCTGGACTCGACTGTTTGAATGAACCAAGGCACATGCATCAAGTCCACACAATACTTTTTTTCATGTCTATTTGACATGATTTTGTGCAAACTAATTTAACCATGCGCAAGAGAAACAGGTGTGATTATCAAGGAGTGCACACGGTTCCATGACTGGTCGTCTGGAGCTCCAATCGCATCTCCATCCTGGTACACACAATGCGCCATCCGGGCAAGGTTATAAGCCATCTGCACGAAAGATTTATTGAAAGTCGAGTCGTCGACCATATATTTGTTCATTTTCTTCCATGCCGTGTCGATCTGTTCTGTAACGCACTCGCGAGCCTCTGACTCGGAGACCCCCTTTTCTTGCATGTAACACCGTATTGAATTCGTGGTCTCTCCCCTCTCCAGCTCAGCCTGTTAGGATCATAATTTTGCCATAATAAGCTATCTAAAAGATCATGAATATGTGGTTATTAACTTCACTTGTTTCGCTACAAAAAAAAATGCTTGTATAAGGTTAATTGCGACACAAGAAAAATTGGACTAGAGAAAGCCGAAAGAATGCGTACCGATGAGGTAGCGAGATCATTGGTAAGACGGAAAATCAAGGACGGCAACCGCAAGAGATCATGGTAGTGTTCTAGCGATTCGAGTTCCTCCTTTCTCATGCTTGGGCTTGATAAAAAGTAGGCATGAGTCAACATGACCTGTCCTGATGATGATACCCACCCATTGTTCAAGTACTCTTCAACTCCTGGGACGATCTTATTGTAACTCCATTTTGCTTCTTGCAAGAAGGCTTTGCACAGATCATACCACTGCAAAAGAATAGAAACACTCAATTTCCGCATTAGGTAGGAAATTCCTAGAACTCGGATGCATATATGGTCAATTGATACACCAAAGAGGTTTTTGTGCGTACCGCTTTACTTAGATACGGGAGGACATTTTCCCCGGTCTCCTTTAGAGTGTCGTAAGCCATCTCGTTTACGCTGTTGTAGAGAGCTAAGAAGCACAACTTCATATAGCCAGGAAGATCTTCCACAGCATTGATGTCCCATCTGAAACCACACAGATGACAAGGTAAAACTTCCACTTCTAAAATGCATGAACATTAGTATCTCCAAGTATATCGAAGAGAGATGGACCTGCGGACCGCCTCTGTGAATAGCTCCAGTTCGTCCAATGTGCCAAAAACATCGTACACATCATCGAGGACAAGGATCAGCGAGAACGCTTTCGTCACCCCTTTCCGACAAATGCTGAGTGAAGGTTCGTGTGCAATTCCAACCGCCCAAAAGAAGCACTCCATAAGTCTATCCCTCGCAAAGCTCAACCTTTTTGCGAGGCTAACATTATTCCACCATCTGCAACAACTCAGAGAATTAAAATTTCAGAGTATGCATTGCAATTTTTTCGAATGCATATCAAGCTTTCGCAAGTCTAATATCCTTATTGCCCCCATCAATTCCATCATCAAATATAGGATTTATCCTTATGAGTTTGTAGACTAACCCTAACATTTCCTGAAGATCTCTTTGGAGAGTTGATTGCGAAGTGTTGAACTCCGTCGCGGCAAGTTCGAGAATTGGATGATTCGTGTATCCATATCTGCCATAAGCTTCAATGGATCTTCGAGCTTCTAGCAATGGCATTCTACGGTGCAGAGGCAGTTCCAATTCATGGATCACTTGGTCTTGAAGATCTTTGCTAACGTCGCTATTGAGGTTTTTGAGATGCTTGATGGCGAATGTTTTAGCCTTGTGCAAGATGTCTTCTTCTTCGAAGGCCAAATGGGAGGCTTCGTATAGACTCAGCATACCTTGGACATCACCACCAAGGATCTTCATAAAACTGCCGCTTTCTTCCATGAAAATCTTAAAAACATCTGTTTATTCGTAGCCAAGATTAGTCCATCTGATTAGAGAAAGATACTATGCAGTTGTTCATTAATAAATTCTCTAATTCCCTAATATATATGTTCATGGGAGGATATGGTGAGGTCCTATGCTGAGAGCCGTTATAGATGTCACTACAACAAGTGTTTAGCGTCTCATAGTGATTACAGAATATTTGTCTGTCTCTTATAATCATTTCGAACCTTCACACACAAAAGTTAGTATAACAAGAATTGCAAAAGCATCTTGATCCGAATTTTGAGAATTACCTTCTAATTGTTTTTGTTTCATCAAATTTACGATGAATTACCTTGAGAAACTTCGAAGCCGTGCTGTCTAAGAACCCTAAAGCTGAGAGCTGTGCCGTGCAGAGACTTGTCAAGGCGCTTATTGACCGCACCCGGAGAGAGACATCTGCGAAGAGCTCTCGAAATGTCTTCCCCAAAGTGATGTCCCAGTCCTAGGCGTTGAATGTCATCAACCAGAGCAAATATGGTCATGGGTTCAGCAGTTTCGTCACTAAGAGCACCTCTCACTTGTTCTTCCAACACTTGTGCCTTTTCTTTCCGTTGCTCAACCTACGTTAGAAGAAAGTAAAATCCATAGCTTAGTTTTTGAACCCTAGGAAAAAAGCAAAGAAGGAAACATAATTTTTCAAACCTACATATTGGGTCTCCTATAAAGTGTTGATACTTCAAAGAAATAGGAGGAAATCTACTATCTCAAGATCACATTTGTGTCAAATGCCTAGGATAATGACACCTATGACTGACTTCTTAAAATTGAAACAGTGTCGAATGTGTGCAACAAACGTAAAGAGAAACGACGATAGAGGAATTCCACATGCTCTAGATTTTGTTTGGCTTATGTTGCTATCTAATCACAATCGATAGAGGCTCGTATTTTTCTCCATTCTTGTTTAGAAAAAATTCTCTCCATCACAGTATTCTGATTAGTCGATACAAACATGGATATCACCCACAGCTTGCAGTTCATCCATCATAGACATGGTTGGAGGAAACTAGGGACGAAAGAAAATATAACCAATTAACAAAAGTGATAAATCTTAGTGATGAGGCCACATGACCTACCAACTACGACGATATAGAGATCATTAAATCAAATTTCATAGTCATAAAGTTATTAGTCTGGTGCCTAACATAAAAGTATGACACAACCGGATTTGATCAACAATTTGTCCTAGGATAATTGTCCTTTTCAATACCGAGAATTTATTTATGTTTAGTCGAGAACGAGAGGATAATCAAAATTTCAATAAGACTAATTCTCCCACCAATGCACTGAACTACCCCATCCAGTGGCTAGTGTACGATCCAAGTGTATTTTGAGTGAAAGACGTTGTAATTTGAACACTGAATCTATCGTATTCGAAACAAGTGTTTGATTACTCAGCTAATCATTATAATTAAGTTGGATCCAAATTACAGAAACTGTCTTTATTTTTTAAAAACTTTAGCATAAAACATCTCGTTGAGAGAACAAATGGCTAGGCGAGCGGTTCTTCACCTCACGACGAGATCGACGAACTTCATCGGCCACAAGGGACTGAAGGTAATTGTAAGTCCAGACAGATGGCTGATAATTGGCCGATCTTCGTCCTCCCTGAGGATCAGAGACCTGCGTGCTCGCGGAACAATGGACTCGACCATTAGCAACCCTCTGAGAGGAAAGCTCCGGGAGGTAAGGTGCGAACAAAAGATGAAGTGCCATGAATCTCGCGAACTGAGCCGAACTGAACCAAGCCAATAATATAGAAAGTGAAGACTCAGCGACCAGTGCACGCTCTCGTTGTCGACAGTCCCATATTTATACTATCTTTTCGATTTCCTACAACACGTCGTTGGAATATACTGATAAATTTTCTGATGGTCTCAGGTACTTCGCTTGCCTTTCGGTTTCGAAGCGATGTCGCCGTCGACGCGGTGGATCACATCTTCTTGTCCTGTGTTTTTCCATGTTTGCTCGATCACACGTTGCTGGATTCGTCTCTCGTCCAATCTTTTGTCGGTGTTCTGCTCGATCACACGTTGCTGGGCTCGTCTCTCGTCCACCCATTGGCGTCGTCGTGTTTTTTACTGCAACACCCGGTCGGAAACGTTTGGTCCACGTGTAGCTGTGTCGTTCATAGGATCGAAGATTTTATGTGGAGTCCTTGTCTGTATACCATCATTATTCTCCTGCAAATCTACATAGAGCATGCACTTCGCGACGATCCGTTGTGCTTCTAGAGAAAGCAAGGCCCCCACCTTCTGGGAAAGGGATTGATGCTCGAATGTTCAACAACCGAGTGGAGGACTGGGTTCAAAAGCTAGACTCTAGTGGTGTCATATAGAGGGTCCCTTGGCCCGGGCTTGTAGGCCTCATTGCAATCGGGCTTTGAGCGCTGAGTTTCCAAACTAAGGCGCGTGACAACGATTCTCGTCTTCGAACGTATTCTTCGAAATGATTCTTTTTATTCTCATGCCGAATTGATTCGAGCGCATTTAAGGCGTTTGTTAACGACCCAAAATTCCATCTCTGGAATAGAAAAAGAACAGAAATGCGTTTGGTAACGCCACAAATTTTTTTTTTATTAATAATATTTTTAAATATTTTAATATTTCTTTCTTTTTTTCTTTTCTTTTTTTCTTTTCCTCCTTCTTGGCCATAGCCTGCTCGCCGGCCATGACCCGTAAAATATTTTTTTATTAATAATATTTTTATTAAAAGTATTTTTTCTTTTTTTTGGTCATGGCCTGGTCGCCGGCCATGATCGATAAAATATTTTTTATTAAATATTTTTATTAAAAATATATTTTTTTATTTTTTTTTGCCATGGCCGGTAAAATATTTTTTTTATTAATAATATTTTTTATTAAAAATATACATTTTTATTTTTTTGGGCCATGGCCTGGTCGCCGGCTATGGCCGGTAAAATATTTTTTTTATTAAAATATTTTCATTAAAAATATATATTTTTATTAAAAATATATATTTTTATTTTTTTTACATGCATCAGTCAGCTGCACTATTTGAAATATTTTTTTATTAAAATATTTTTATTAAAAATATATATTTTTCTTTTTTTTTGCCATGGCTCGATCGCGGTCATGGCCGTAAAATATTTTTTTATTAATAATTTTTTTATTAAAATATTTTTATTAAAAATATACATTTTTATTTTTTTTTTGCCATGGCCGGTAAAATAATTTTTTTATTAATAATATTTTTTATTAAAATATTTTTATTAAAAATATATTTTTTTTCTTTTTTATGGCCATGGCCGGTAAAATATTTTTTATTAATAATATTTTTTATTAAAATATTTTATTCTCGTCAGATCCGGCGAGGGCGGTCCTCGGGCTGGACATTAGAAGCTAAATTAAAAACCAAGAAAAGGAAGAAGAAAAAAAAATTGATTCTCAAAATTGTTCCCAGAATCAAGAAGCTACTTTTTTTTTATTCTTGATTCTGCTCCAAAACTGATTCTGGGAACAATTTTTGACAAAATTGTGCCCAGAATCAAAAAATTAAACAAACGCATTTCTGTTCCCAAACTGATTCTGGGAACAAAAGAACAGAATCAAACACTGTTTGGCAAGTTGTCATGCGCAGCCTAAGTGGGTGTGGGCGAGCATTGAGAGACATTTCCCTAGTACGGGGAGGATAATTGACCCTTTTGTCGTTAATGATGACGGCCTGGGATGTCATATCTCAAGATCACATTTGTCACATGCCTAGGATAATGACACCTATTACTGACTTTTTAAAAATGAAATAGTCTCGAATGTGTGCAAGAGACGTAAAGAGAAACGAGGATAGAGGAATTCCATCTTTTCATGGCTTGCTCTAGATGTTGTTTGGCTTATGTTTCTATCTAATCACAATCGATAGAGGCTCGTGTTTTTCTCCATTCTTGGTTGGAAAAAATTCTCTCCATCCTTGTTTGGAGAAAACCTCCTCTAACCATTATTCTGATTAGTGGATACAAACATGGACATCACCCACAGCCTGCAATTCATTCATCATAGACATGGTTGGAGGAAACTAGGGATGGAAGAAAACGTAACCAATTAACAAAAGTGATAAATCTTAGTGATGAGGTCAAATGACTTACTAATTATGATGATATATAAATCATTAAATCAAATGTCATAGTCATAAAGTTATTAGACTGGTGCCTAACATATAAGTACAACACAACCGGGTTTGATCAATAGTTTGTCTTAGGATAATCAAAATTTCAATAAGACTTATTCCCCCGCCAATGCATTGAACTGCCCCCGTCCACGTGCACTTGATAATGCTCCACACCATAAGTGACCAGTGTACGATCCAAGTGTATTCTGAGTGGAAGACATTGTAATTCGAACGCTGAATCTTTCGTATTCGAACCAAGCGTTTGATCACTCAGCTAATCATTATAATTAAGTTGGATCCAAATTGCATAAACCGTCTTTGCTTTTTAAAAAACTTTAGCATAAATTTCTCGTTGAGAGAACAAACGGCTAGGTGAGTGGTTCTTCACCTCACAACGAGATCGACGAACTTCATCGGCCACAAGGGACTGAAGGTAATTGTAAGTCCAAACATATGGCTAATAATTGGCCGATCTTCGTCCTCCTTGAGGATCAGAGACCTGCGTGCTCGCAGAACAATGGACTCGACCTTTAGCAGCCCTCCGAGAGGAAAGCTCCAGAAGATAAGGTGCAAACAAAAGACGAAGTGCCATTAATCGCCCGAACTGAACATAACTGAACTGAGCCAATAATATATGAAGTGAACACTCAGCGAACAGTGCACGCCCTCATTATCGTCAACAGTCCCATATTTATACTATCTTTTTTATTTCCCACAACACGTTGCGAATACACTGATAAATTTTCTGATGGTCTCAGGTACTTCGCTTGCCTTTCGATTTCGAAGCGACGCCGTCGTCGCGGCGGATCACATCACCTCCGTCCTACGTCCTATCTTTTTCCATGTTTGCTCGATCACACGTTGCTGGATTCGTCTCTCGTCCAATCTTTTGCCGGTGTTCTGCTCGATCACACGTTGCTGGGCTCGTCTCTCGTCCACCCATTGGCGTCGTCGTTTTTTTACTGCAACACCTGATCGGAAACGCTTGGTCCACGTGAAGCTGTGTCGTTCATAGGATGGAAGATTTTGTGTGGAGTCCTTGTCTCTATGCCATCATTATTCTCCTGCAAACCTGCACGGAGCATGCACATCGCGACGATCCGTTGTGCTCCTAGAGAAAGCAAGGCCCCCACCTTCCGGGAAAGGGATTGATGCTCGAATGTTCAAGAACCGAGTGGAAGACTGGGTTCACAAGCTAGAATCTAGTGCTGTCATGTAGAGGGTCCCTTGGCCTGGGCTTGTAGGCCTCATTGCAATCGGGCTTTGAGCCCTGAGTTTCCAGACTCAGTGGGTGTGGGCGTTAGAGCATTGAGAGGACATTTCCCTGGTACGAGAGGGACCGGGAAGCAGGATTAGATCCTTCAAGTTATTTGGGATCGTGATGGTCTTGGGCCCATCCATTTTGCTGGATTGACAAACCAATTGTGTGTCTTCTTATCTCTGTGAATTTCTTAGCAAGCACCGCAGGTAACGTCAATTTCTTCTTTAGGACTAAATCTATCAAACCGGATCGTAAACTTTCTTAACCCATATTTGATGGATTGAGTTGTTATATGATTTAATTATATTCAATAAATGGTCATACATGAGTTTAGAATGGTAAAGTTCAAAATAATAAGGATTTTAAATGGGTTCACAACTTATTTAAACCCAACTCACCTCTATGACTCTCTCCCTCTTGCCCTTACTTCACCCCGTGCTTACTCGCTCACCCCGCGCTCTCACCTCAGTTTAGATATGTGTTTTCCTAAATTGAGTTAAATATTAAAGTGTTTTGGCAATATATGTTGGGGTGGCGCTATTTCCACTACCATATTAGCTAAGACACTCCTTTTTTTCTAATAAACTTACAGAAATACCCTCCTCTCTCCCTCTCTCTTCAATTTATTGTTCTTCTTTTATCAGGCCAACCCATTTCTTTTTCTATCAAGCTAACCAACAAAACTGCCTTTTATTTCTATCATCTCTCTTATTTTATCAGTTTCACAATATAAATGTTAAATTCCACCCAACAAGATATTATCTTATCCTACATCCTATTATCATTTTGCCTAGAGAATGTTGTTACTTTTACTTTATGATTTCATATTTTTAATCACAAAAGTTACCTAGAATGTCAGAAATTTCTAGCTTTGATGGCTTATGAGCACACAATTAATTGCCTATTTTTTATCAAATGGTTTGAGGGAACTTTACTTCAAAGTTGGAAATTAAAATTCCACATAATCATCTAGCCGATTTTGACATTGTGGGTGCTTTTCCGAAATAAGTTCGTAGGGTTTTAAAGTTAAACATCGCTGGTTTGTGCTTTCTTATGAGATTTTTACGATTTATAAGAATTGCAAGATGAGTGTTGACAATTTATTTACACCTTCTTCACTTTCAAAGTCACATCAGATTTTTCATAACAGAGTTTTAAGCATATTTAAAAGTTTTAATCCATTTGATATGAGATTGAGTTTATAATCGATATTAATTACTTTCTTCATTGTACGATTAGAAGAGCAAGAAGTTTCATTTTTTTCCCTTTATGTGCCTATTTTTTGTTAATATTTAGTATGATCTACATATAAATATTTTTGACATTTGATCATGCTTCTAACAAATTAAACTTTTTCATATTTTGATCAAATTTTCTATTCCATTTTTTATAAAGATCGGCTAAATAGTTAAATTGAATTTTAATTTTCAACTTTGAAATATAGTTTCGCTCATACTATTTGATAAAAAAAAATGGGCAATTAATTGTGTGTTCATACGCTATCATAAATAGAAACATTTTGTGATTGAAGATATGAGACTATATATTAAAATTGACAATATTGTCTAGGCAAAGTGATAACAAGATGCATGGTAAAACGATATTTTGTTGGGTGTAATGGAGCATTTGTATTGCGAAACTGACATGTGAGATGAGAGAAATAAATGTAGTTTTGTGGATTAGCCTAATAAAAGAAGAAACAATAAATTGAGGAGAGAGGGAGACATGAGGCTATTTCTGTAAGTTTATTGGAAAAAGGAGTGTCTTAGCCAAAATAGGGGTGGAAATAGCGCCACCCTATATGTTGGGTTGGATATGAGTTTGTGATGGATTGGATCGGATATGGGCCACTAGATTTATATTGCATGAAATTGATCAATTTGCGTCAGACCATTTTCAATTCGACCCATTCATTCGATGGATCTATTGAGGATCAGCAGGCAATCCGTGCAGCCTTTACTTACTCCGATTGTGCCAAATAAGACCGGACACCAAGAGGGCTCCCCCATACCTCGTACTAGATAAGTCCCAACTCAAGTATTTTCGAATTCGAACTCAACACATGGAAGCGGGGATCGAAACAGCGCATCCATGCGCGCCTCCACTCGTGGGGGCATAGCTGGTGAAGTGAGAAATCGAACTCCTCACCTTCCGGATCACAATCCCGACCAAACGGTACTAACCGTAGACGCCGTAATCAAATATGCTACATTACGTAGCTCTGGCTCAGTCGACATAGGCTACATCCTTCGCTTCGCTGCTAAGCAAAAGGGACGGACTGTAACGTTCTTCGAGTTCAAAAGACTCCATTTTTACGTGTAACGATCAGTTTAGCAAGGGCCCATTGACTGGGAGCCGATCGCTTTGATAGGTAAAGCTCTTGATTTCGCTCACCAGCATGCAATCTCTCCCTCCGCTTTTCGTAATCCAAAGCACCCATCTTGTCATTCGTCGTCGAAACGATCTGTTTGTACAAATTACCTTGATTCGTGGGTCGTTTGTCAACTAGATTGATTGCGTAAAGTGATTGGAGTTCTTGGTTCGAGGGACAGAAACTGCACTCCATAGTCGGGGTTGGGTGTTTGTTGTCAACTAGATATTGTACTCTAACTGGTTGACGAATTCCCCAGAGGACTTCCCGCAAACATTTCCCGGTGCTTCGACTCGACCAGCACTCACTCACATTGTCACATTTGCCTCCGCTCTCCGTCATCGGCTTGAAAGTAGCTCACGGCTACTAGTTACTTGACATGACTAAATTATGGATCTTGGTTTGAATTGCGGTCGCCCTTGATTCCCCCCTTATTTTTTTGTGTTTGTCGGTTATGATTCTGTCTATTGAATTGTTGCATTTCACGTTCAGGATTTCCCTCATGTAGAGCTCCATTGATTAATGAGTGCCTGCGCGCAAGAAATGGTGCTGGAAATATGTTCCGGGTTCAATTTTGGGCGCGAGTTCTTTGTCAAGCAATTCGCTTAAAGCTTTTGTGCAAATAGGCATCTAAAAATTCTAGCTTGGGGTAGTTAGAGAGGTTGTGGATGTTTCTTTGCCTGCTCTTTTTCTCCTTACAATGAGCATCAGGAAAACTGTAGAGATCAAGCTGAAGCTTGTCAGCTGAATCAGATTCATGCGGGATGTATTGTGTGCATAGAATCTAAGACAACGTTAGGTCAGGAATATGTCGTTGCTTCCTTTTACTGGTTTGACTTTGGAGTATTTTTTTAATAAGTGCAACTAAAAGGAACAGGTGCAAAGGTTCCAATGATGTTGTGACTGAATCCATGTGTTTGATTTTGATGCTACTGGAAGTATATTCTAATTCGGAATAGGAACTCTTGCACTTGAGGTCTGGAGTTGTAATGTTGCATCTGAAAATTTCTGTCTGAATATTGACAGATGGGGGAGCTTGTTGGCAATAAACATGTCGAGTACATATTATCAGTTGAAAGGGTATCAGTATACAATCCCCTTCTTGTGTTTCCTACCAATATATGAAAATGACCAGGTACGTTGATATCTGCTATCCAGTATTTCAGTTTTTTACTGATTTAGTTTTTTGGTGATCTTGTGGTCAGAGGAAAGATGATTTCCATTCTGTGCTTATGGATTATTTGAGAATGAATGGAGCTTATTGGGGACTGACCACACTGGATCTTCTTGGAAAACTTGACACCGTGAATTCAGAGGACGTTGTTTCGTGGATCATGACATGTCAACATGAGTCTGGTTTGTACGAATCTGTAGATCTCTTGGCTTCTTTCTCGTGATTACCCACATCAAAGATGCACCTAAAAGAAACTAACATCTTAAATAGTTCGTCTTTTAGTATAGTCCCAAACTTGAGCTACTTATCTGTTTAAACTTTCCTTTTTTGGGGCTAGGATACTGTGACTCCATCTATTAATGACAGGTCTCGGGGGTGGTTAATGTTGGTGTTGCTGTACTCTCTATAGAACTCTTGTTCAAAGAGCAAGTCTGAGCATCTGTCAGGGCTCTATGTGCAGGCGGCTTTGCTGGAAACGTTGGACATGATCCACATCTGCTGTATACAATCAGTGCTGTGCAAGTTTTAGGCCTTTTTGACAAATTAGATGTTCTTGATATCAATAAGGTGACTGGTTGTATCCTTCATTCTTTTGGAATAGAGCATTCTATAATTTTAAACTCTTGTCATGGATGAAGAGTTCGTGTTGTTCTGCTTTTCATTTTTGGATGTCATCTAGTATTTAACTTATAGAGGACGAACTTGTGAATCTTTATCCTATGTGTTTCTTTTGAAGTGGTCATCAAATCTGTCTACTTTTGGATGTTGTAGAACCTTTGTTAATCTTAGTGCTTTGTCTACATATTGCCAGCCAAACATAAATCAGAAGGCTCTCTCTGAGATTGATTTTCTTGATGTGGGATAATTTCTGGCATGAAAGCTTTTATATTGTTGTGCCTATACTTAAGCTCAGATGTCACATCACTGCAAAAGGAAGATGGATCCTTTTCCGGGGATATATTGGGAGAAGTTGATACTCGGTATTGTCCTTGTCATTGACCTTTGGGATGTTCGTACTTCTTAAGGATGTCGGTCAAATACTCAAAACTCATTTCACAATTTTTTTCTCTTCAAAGATTCTCGTACATTGCCATATGCTGTCTTTCAATACTAAAACGCTTGGATTCGATGGATGTGGAGAAGGCTGTGAAGTACATTTTGAGTTGCAAAAATATGGATGGCGGGTTTGGTTGCATTCCTGGTGGAGAGTCCCACGCAGGGCAAAGTATGTCATAACCTTATGCTGGAACTTTTTCATTGATTTTACTTTCTGAAAGGTGCTTTGGAAGTCAAATATTTGTGTATGCATAGGGTAGCCTCTTTCTGTGGTGAAAAATACTGTTCTATCATCACAAAATAAAATTCTGTTCTAGGTGGTAAGAGAATATTTGAAGTGCTTTTAGTTTGCTCAATTTTGAATCTTATAATCACTTGCAACTTTTGAATCACACAATGATTATTCTATCTGCTCCTCCGTTGTTATTTGGAAGCCAAGCAGTACCTTAGCATATGTAACAAAATTATTTAGAAGCATTTCTGGATGAAATTTGGTCCGGCATATCTCCTGCTTCTATTGATATCCATGATATACTATGTCAGATTCACACAATTAATCTCACTTTCCAGCCAACCATCTTATGGGTTGTTTGGAGAAAGATGTGAAAACCTGGGCTTTGGTCAATGATGATATGCAATGCAATTAAATAAAAAATATTATTTTCTTGTTTTAGGAATTAAAAATTTAATTCCTAAATTTTGTGCAATTTAATTGGGCTATTAAAAAAAATATGTGTCAACATATGCGCAGGGCTGTAATTAAGAATAGCTGGAATTCATTTTTGTAAGACTTTTTGAAACTGGACAAGCTGTCTTGGACTTAATTCCATACTAAGTTCAGTGGCTTTTCCTTTGAAATGGTGGCAACCAGTGATTGTCTGCAACAAAATATGTTTATTGTCACCACCGAGGATGGAGCATAGCAACATGAGACTGATAGGAGTGGAGGAGAGATGGCAATTTTAAAATCAAGGGTTGGAGAATAGTGTATATAGTGTCTAAGGAAAATTAGTTGCCTGATTACTTGTTTAAGATAGAGATGGCAACTGGAAAATCAATTCGAGTTTTATTGTCCTTTTTCATGTCAAGCCGATGGGTGCTTTTGGTTCTCCTTAACAGTTAGTGTCAGTTTCAAATTATCTTTAGCTGTGGCTTTTGCTTTTTAATAATAGTTGTGACTTTTCTCACCTTTAGTAATTGAAGTTGTAATTGTGCAATTGGTATTTCTGCAACCTTTACTCAACATATGATAAAAATGTTGGTGAGTTGTATTTCTACATGTCATCCTATAGCATGTAAACATGTCATTTTTTACATGGATTCTCAATTTGAAACCTAGAAAGCAAGAAGAGGAAACTAGAGAGAGCAGCTTCAGATTTTTATGCATTGCGACTTCTCTCATATTTAGTAATTGAAGTTGTAATTGTGCAATTGGTATTTCTGCAACCTTAACTCAACATATGATAAAAATGTTGGTGAGTTGTATTTCTGCATGTCATCCTATAGCATGCAAACATGTCATTTTTTACATGGAATCTCAATTTAAAACCTAGAAGCAAGAAGTGGAAACTAGAGAGAGCAGCTTCAGATTTTTATTCTGCTACTTGCTTTTATGCATTGGATTTTGATTGGCTCTTGTTGCGAAATACTAGTTGATGGAGAATCCAGTAGGCTGAAAAAGGAAGTCAGTGGCAAAACCCCTTATAGATTCCCTTTGTATTTAATTTTCATTTTTATCTTCATGGATTTAAGCATATGAATCGGAGAGAGATTCACACAGCCATTCCTGCAGTATTTGCTTGTGTGGGTGCTCTGGCTATCACGGGTTCACTCCATCACATTGACAAGGACCTTCTCGGCTGGTGGTTGTGTGAACGCCAAGTCAAATCCGGAGGGTTCAATGGCCGCCCGGAGAAACTTCCTGATGTGGGCACCAGAACTAATGTTTAAGCTATTGCTTGTGAATATTCTTGTCAAAGTCTGTACTCATCTTGTTGCACTATCACAGGTCTGCTACTCCTGGTGGGTCCTATCTAGCTTGACTATGATTGACAGAGTTCACTGGATTGACAAAGAAAAGCTCGTGAAATACATCTTGGACTGTCAGGTTATTTATTTGAATGTCCTTCCTGGGATGCATATAGAACTTCACGGTATAGAGTTCCTGTCTTGTGTTTTGATTATCAGTTAACTCTTTTGATCCGATGGCTTTGTGATTTCAGGACACTGAAAATGGTGGAATATCTGATAGACCAGATGATGCCGTAGATGTGTACCATACGTATTTTGGAGTGGCAGGTAATTAATAGTTAGATCTTGGCATGATCCTTTGCAATCTCTCGGTTGAAATTGGCTAATCCTATCAACTGAATAAGTGCATTCAGTGTTTCTTGATATCCTACCATAAATCATGTGATTTATTGACAATGGCTGCCTCGTACTATGACGATGCGATATCAAATATGTTAGAATCTCCATTACCTGCACTTAAACTCAATGCTCTTGTTAAGGATGAAGATTAGGTAGTAAATTGGTCAAGAATGCAAATATTAGCTGATAAAGAATATCCTAATGAACTCTTTATTCTCCTTGTCTTTTCGGTGTTGTTTTCTCCCTCTTGCTTTTCTTGTCCTTTTTTTCCCTTCTTCATTCTTCTCTTCTTTTGTTGGGTCGGGGGTTGTTTCATGCCTCTCGATTTACTTTCTTCAGCTAGAGTTATCTCCGGGCATATTGCTAGTTAAATCTCTAAGCTTTTTTTCTGCTTGGTGGGTGTTTTCAGGTCTTTCGCTTCTTGAGTATCCGGGAGTTAAAGCCATAGATCCAGCATATGCGTTGCCAGTCAATGTAGTCGATAGGATTTTCTTTGGCAGATGTTCAACCTGACAGTCCGGACCGCAAACAAAAAATATTACACTTTCGTGATTTCTTGAGTCCGTTAGCTTCTGCTTTGTGGGAGGTCGGGAGAAGAGCAGATCTGGAGGTGGGAGACGGCGAGAGAAAGCAGAGAAAAGATGGAAATTTTGCTGTAAAATGCCAAGATTTTGGATTAATTATGATGGTTCCGAGATTGCTCTCATAAAAGCGAACGTGCTCTCTTACATAGTACCGCATATTTCACGGATTTTTTCTCTGGTTTTGGAGCTTGGACATGCGCCTTATCGTGGAAAGTATATGTCCTCAATAGTAGACCAAGATCTCTTCTGCTGCTTCGATGTGTGTTAGAGCTGCGTAGAAAGATTCAAGAGTTTTTCGATTTCGGATGCCCGTGCCCAACAATAGTCCTCAAAAGAGCTATCAGTCCTTGCATCTTTTTCCTCGCAACGTATAGCAGTAAACTGGGCGCATGACAAGTATTGCAACACTTCTGTAGGTAGGTAATGATGGACACGTCAACTTAAGGATGAATCCATGAATCGTGCACGATTGTGAAGCGATGACACTCATCGGGATGTTATTCCTAGAAAAGAACATATTGGTCGAGATCGATGTGATGTGACCGAGTAAAGAAAAATGTCTGAACATCTTTTTCTAGTGTATCCAAATGAAGGGAGATCGAACGTTCCATGAAGCAGTGACGACATTCAAGTTCTTTTCTATTTCCTCCCCAAAAAAGAGACCTTCGCAAACGCTGTGAAAGATCTAATTATGCCTGCGATTCGCCAATTAGTATCCGGTGGCCTATATAATCAAATGGTGCGTAAGGCTAAAGCCCGATACCTTACTCGGAAACAGTTTTCTTTCCATGAAAGGGCGGTGATCGGAGTGAAAACGGAAAATGCTTTGTAGAAGGAGCCGAGCAGAAGCGGCCGACGATCACCATCGATCCAATCGGAGACCGGACAGCGCAAAAAGACATCATCGGGTCCGGTGGTGTCCCTCCCAATTATTTGAGTGGGTGAGCTTCGTTTGGCTGTTCAAGGGAGGTGACCCTTTTCTTTGTCTCTTCTCTACGTGTGTCTCTTCTCGAGGGCATAAAGAAGAGCCACCATTTTCAACGTGCCCAGCAGAAATTTCCTCAGCCACGATGCCCAAGTTGATACAAACCAAGAAAATTTCCTCACTTTTAACGTATCGAGGGTTCTTTTTTATACCTTACGGGGGTCTCCGCAGCCTGCTTTTGGTCCTGCGAGAACTTCCATGGCTTGTTCTCATCAAGCGGGCTTCATAATATGTTCCTTATTTTAACTTGTCAGTGCTCGCACACCATGCACCATCAATTTTCCATCTTTATCTTTTAAAGGGAAAACGAATACCCTTTAAAAGTTTTATATTCTAGTGATCTCAAGGTCCGGACGAGAACCGAGATTGAGCCATTTTAGGACCTGCTCAGTTCCGTACCACGATTCTCGAGTGATAAATCGAGAAAATTTGTAAACTTTTAACGTTTTGTCCTTAATAAAATTGAATTATTCCAAATCAAATATATATGTCCAATAAACGTTTCGAGTATGTTCATTAGCACCATCGCACGGGATGGTGTTTTTTCTGTTTTTGGTCATTTTCTATTGTGCTTCTTTTATAATTTTCTTCCCTAAGATTTTATTGGGTGATGCGAAGATTAGGAAGAGAGTTGGGGGGCATCGTCAATCCATAGGGATCACGTGCGACGGCCTACATCGGCACGAAGGTCAACTTGTTGTGTTCTTCAACCTCCGTCCTTTTTTGTTACGTGGTTAGACGGATTCATCAACCCAAGCACTCCCACTCCCCGATTTCGACTCACGCGCAATCCCCCTTGTCTTTTCTTCACACATCCGTACGAGGAGTGTACACGGGAACCGAACCGGACCTATCGGTTCTTGGCAGTTCCAGCGAGAACCGGAAATATTTAGTTCAGTTCCCGATTTCAAATGCGGAACCAAACCGCCAGAACTGGACCAAACCAATGGTTATAATGTGTGAAATTGATCGTGCGAAAGGTAAATATGTCAATAGGTACAAGATAAAAAAAAATTTACGATAAATGTGTCACAGTGGGTATCGTTTGAGGTTTTTTATGTTAACGAAATTTATGGTAAATGTGTAACGGCGAGCCTAGTTTGAAATTTTTTGTGGATTTTCAACAAAAAATAAAAAAATAATTCTTTATGTTGACGGTAGAATTCACCTTGTCTAGGGCGCTCTTAGAAAGATTTGATTACATGACCAAGATATAGATTAGAACTAATGGTTAATATTACGAAAAACCCAAAACGGGTATATCTGTGATAAATTTACTCCAAATTAATTTTTTGACTACCAAAAACCCTAAACTGGTATAATTGTGACAAATTTACCCCGAACTAATTTTTTTACCATCAAAAATCTCAAACTGGTGCAATTGTGACAAATTTATACTCAGTTAGTTCTAGTTAAATTGGATTAATACCACAAAAAAATCACAAACCAATATATTTGTGATAAACGGAGGGTAAAACCTCAAACTAGTACACCCGTCAACTGCCACGTATCATCTAACTCGGTAATTTGACGGTAAATTTTAACGGAAACTAACATAGAGCAAATTTGTCACATATACACCAGTTTGCGGTTTTGGTTTGTAGTAAATTTGTCACGGTGGATCAGTTTAGAGATTTTCGTGATATTAATCTTAGAACTAATCAAATGGGTGATCCTGGACGGCGCCATTCCTAGTACGAGACCTTTAAAAAATTTATTCATACCCGCCGATGATTCGAAAGCATTTGTTTACATGAAATGCTCAGGGCAAGCCTCCACCAAAGTTGCGTGCGTCAAGTTCTCTCGTGTAACATGGCCCCCGTTTAATTGACCTCTACCGCTTAGAATTTGCATCGATTAGCCGCTTTAGGTCTTCATTATAGTCGATTACATCGGCCATAAGTGAAGATAGGAAAAACATGAAGATGTTCCATGTGAAAGAAAGGGGAAGTTTATCCATGAATGAGCTCGTGGCGTGTCGAAACCGACACGTTATTTTGCGGGAAAGGGTAGGAATTTCTGAGAGCAGAGAAAGACGTCATGCTTGTAACAAAGCGTCTACTCCGTCAACAATGCCTCTACACTCGGGGCCATGTGGTGTGATTTTCTCCCCGAAGTTTTCTAATTATGGAATTGAACTTCTATTTAAGGTCGAGCATCGCCCATGTGCCAAGGTAAGTAAAAATTTGGTATTTATCCGCTTCGAAATTGACCCGGTGACAAGGACATGTCATATATTCTCAATTTAGAGAACGATGTTTGTGGGTTCCATTTTTGTCCTGAGGAACTCGGATTTTAATGAGGTTGTGGTGCTTGTTGGTCGTTGAGGACGATGCCGACGAGGACGATTCCGATGAGGAACAACCACCGCTTGGAGCAGAGCGGCCATTATTGTGACCCAAATTGAACAACGGTTCAAAAGCTAGATGAAGAAGAAGATGATAAGAAAAACAAATATGAGATGCATGAGCTCGCCGGCCGGCAAGCTCGGATTTTATTTGAGACTGAGTGTCACTTCAGTTCTTTATTTCAGATTAAGTGATTACTTCATGCCCTTATTGTAGACAAAATTCATTCTATGCCCTTTTTGAGAAAATAATATCACTTCGGACTTTTATTTAAAATTTTCTCAAAATAAAATAGTAAGGCATTTGGTAGAGAGTTTCGTCTATAAAATTTAGGAATTTAGATCACAAGGAAAAGTTTGTGTGATTATTGGAAACTCGAGATAAAATGCACCCTAGAAAAAAAACCTAAATGCAAAATGACAAAGAGGGATCGCTCGCTCGTACCTCGCCCTTGCTTGTTTGAGTCTCGCAACCCTTGCTTGTTCAAGTCTTGCAACCCTTGCTCGTTCTTAACTTACCCTCGGCCCTCGCTCGCTCGCACTCGCCCTCGTTCGTTCGATCCTCGCAACCCTCACTTGCTCAAACTAAGGAAATTAGGGAAAAGTGTCAAAAAAGTCTTAAACATTTTATATAAGTGCCGATTTGGTCATAAACATTTATTTGGTGCCAATTCAGTCCTAAATCTTTTAATATAGTGCCAATTTAGTCCTTCCGGCTAATTTTGGCTGTATATTGCTAATGTGGACTCCAACCGGATTATGTGGCACCGCCGGCGTTGACGCGGATAATTTTTAATAATATTTTAATTTTTTTATGATTTTTTTCTTTTTTCCTTTCTTCTTCATCTTCTTCTTCCTTTTCCGGTGACCGGCCATTGGCCATGGCCCAAAGGGCTAGCCTCGCCTGAGCGAGGGTCGCCGTCGCCCGGCTAGGCGAGGGCAAGGCCTGGCGAGGCCGACCCTTGCCCAGGCCAGGGCGACCTCGTCGAGCGTCGCTCGGGCGAAGGAGACGCCCGGCGAGGCCACCTTGGCTTGGGCAAGGGCCAACCTTGCCAGATCTGGCCTGAGTGACGAGTAAAAGCAAAGACAACTGGGCTGGCTGTGCAGTGGCGTCGGGCGAGAGGAACGATAGCGCAGCAAGCAGCGAACAGGAGCCTGGACTGGCTGTGCAACGTGAAGACTAGCGAACATGGACTAGATGATGGTTTAGGATTGAATTGACACCAAAAAAAAGGTTTAGGACTAAATTGGCACAAATGTAAAAGGTTTATGACTTTTTTGACACTTTCCCCATGGAAATTATGTTAGTTAACTTTTACATATTATTTTGTTATAAAAATGAAACAAAAAAAAAAGAACAAAAGAAAAACAAGTTTTCAGGTAGATCTTGCACTCTGCTATAGTACTTTTCGACAACGAACAATTTATTCAGACGCGCTTTCCATGTATTTACATGTCGTATATATGGATTAGCTCTTCTATGTTATTATCATTGTAACTGTTTGAGCAATCTCCATCCTTCTTGTCTTTTGTATTGCCTGATGCGTCTTTCAACCTCAAGAATTTCTAGAGATACCTCTTCACAAAGTTCTGAAGATTTCTTATTTTTTCTGTGGAGACGGATGGGAATAGCTGGAACGTCCGCAATTCCAAAATCGGTTTTAGGGCAAATAGGATAAGTTCCAGGTTTTAAAAATTAGGAACCGGTTTTGACAAAACCGGTTTCAGATTTCAAGTTAGAAATCTACTCATCTTAGAATTAATTACTCTAGGAAAAAAAAGATTTTACGATATTTTTTACAAGCAGAAAATGAATCTAGTGACGACATTATTAGGAGATACATCGTCATTTCGTTTTGCGTCGAGCCAAAAAAGAGTGATGATACAGGGGAGCACCATAGAAGCGCCAAAAAAAGGCCGTGCGCAAAAACATCTCGTGCCACGTGGGAAAGCGCGACTGGTCCGTCAGATATCCTTTCGGTGTGGGGGGCTGTCGTCGTACAATTGGATACACGACTTTTTCAGGGTATTCGATTTTCCAAAATATTAATTAATTAATTAATAAAAACTGACGGATCCATGATGCTGCCCTGCCATTGGCGGCACCGAGAGCTCGCTCGAAGACGGGACGACGACCGTACGTCACGTACCATCTGTTTTTTTTTTGTCATCATCACGATCAGAGGACTTCCAGGCATGGCAGTCCCACCTTGATCAGCGTGGACGCGGCTGCAGAGTAGTCCCATCCATCCCCCGGCTCCGTCCCTCGCTTGTTTCAAAATTTTCATTTATTCCTCCTCCTCCTTTTTTTTTCTTTTTTTTTTCATTTACTAACTATGAAATCCATTATGGACAAGGCTAATCTTGAAAAAAAAAAAAATTCACACCGATAATATATGCTATAGTTACATACTATGGTTACCTCAATCCATCATTTAAGATGTTTTAACATAGGATGATACAAGACAGTCCCTGAACTTCAGCAAAATGTGCAACGTTACACGTATATACGTTGCACATCGTGCAACGTTATAAGAAGTTACGTTGCACATTTTGCCGAAGTTCAGGAACTGTTTTGTATCATTTTTTCTTTTTAACAAAAAAAGAAAATGTCCACCCCTTACAATAACGAGCTTACGAAAGTCTCGTGGAGCCGGAGTAAATTTAACTCGAAAAATTTTACTCTAAAGAATAATGGTAGATGTGCACCATATGGACAGAGTACCAACGTACACATAAACTGGACCCTTACTCGTCCCGACCCTCTTTCGCCTAATTCCCTCACAAAAGAGGCAAAGCCCGTACCCCATTCAATTCCCTTGAATCCCCACCATGCCAACATGTCCATCTACTTCAACCAAAACAAAAAAAAACATGTCCATCTACAAATTGCTGAAAGACACCATTAACCCTAAACACAACTCCATACATACATACATACATACATACATATATATATATTTATGTGTTATATGTGTGCGTAGAACCCACCTTATAAACGTGATCGACATTCCCGGATTACCCATCTAATCATTACAAAGCTTCATAAGTATTTAACCCCCCCTTTGCACCTTTTTCAAAACTTCTACGCCAATTATACGCATTGGATTTGACAAATTGCAAAAAGAAGTTACACGTTACATCTGTCACGTTGAAGGTGTGGTTCGCGCACCCCGAGGGCCCCGAAAGATTGAAATAATTGCATGGCCCGGACGATATGATCTCTTCCTTCTTCTTTCTTTTTTTTTTTTTTTTTACATTACGTGACAGACTGACAGTGCATGAATCCACTTTGGGTCAGTGTCCAGCTGGCCGCTGACGTCAGCAGAAGTAAAAGAAGCAAGAACGAGGAAGGCAGGAAAAGGAGGAGACTAAAAAAAAAACAACAGAACAGGTGGACCCCACTCGCCCCCGTTCCCAAAAACCCCGAAAAAGGAGGACCCCTTTTTTTTTTTTTTTTACTTCGGGACAACTGGACACAACCACTCCCCACCCAGCTGTAGCTGCCCACGTGTCGCAACTCCACTGGCCCTCATCTGCCCGCCGGTCGCATTTCGGACAGCGACGTGTCGTACGGCGTTGCCCCCCCCCCCCCCCCCCCTCTTCAGTGACCAGCTCTCGCCAGCTCATTGGCCACGGCAACGGCTACAATTTCGATTTCGATTTCGAGAGTCAGACCCAAAATCCGAAAGGGGGACGTGGCTGCACGCGTGGCGCGCGGCCCGCGTGACGTGGCAAGTGGGTGTCGCGTTGCGGAGCCGACGCGAAGCCAATGCGACGCGGCTATAAAAAGGTAGGGGGTTGGTCTCGCTCCGAGCAGACCCCGAGTGAGTTTGAGCGAGTGGTGAGAAACAGAGCAAAGACTTCAGAGTCATTGTGAAGAAGCCTCTCTCCCTCTTCTTCTTCTTCTTCTTCTTCTTCTTCGATGGCTGTCCTGGTTTTCTCCAAAATGTCTGTTGTGTCGTTCGGTTTGGTCGTGGGTCTTGCGTTTGCGCTGGTGGGTCTGGTCACGAGCGCGAGGTTTGATGAGCTTTACCAGCCGAGCTGGGCTATGGATCACTTTGTCTATGAAGGAGAGGTTCTTAAGCTCAAGCTTGATAACTACTCCGGTAAATATTGAGCAGAATCCTCTCTTGTTCTTCGACGAAATGGGACCTTTTGCGGTTCTTAAAACCAAGAAAGAGAAAGGCGAAACCCCAAACACAGTGCGTTTCTCGATGTTGAGATGAAATACCCATAACCGGTCCTGCGTTGGTCGATGCTGTTTCTGGTTATCCATCGTCACTTCACTGTTGGGTTGGGGCGTGTGTTTTTTGCATGTGATCCGTGTTTACTGTACTTCTAAGAGAGGCTTAATAAGAGACCAGTTCATTGGCGAATGAAAAGAGTCGATGAAGGTGATGGGTTCTAACTCCTCTGGTGTGTTTTTTTTTAGGCGCTGGGTTCCAATCGAAGAGCAAGTACATGTTCGGCAAAGTCACCATCCAGATCAAGCTCGTCGAGGGCGACTCTGCCGGGACTGTCACTGCTTTCTACGTGAGTATATCAACCGATAATGCCTTTGTTTTTCTTCATTCCAATGGGTGGATTCATTGAAACAAGGCTATGATAATGATGGAGGAAAGGAAAAGGAACGAACGAAAAAACTGAGCCAAGAGCTTTTATTTCATGGCTCTGGGTCCCCCCAGTAAATAAATAAATGAAGCGTCACCATCAGTCCCATTGAATTCAGTTTGACATGTTTCCAGCTGTGGACAATTTAATCTTGGATTCTACTGAAAAACAATGCGCATGTAGTAGTACCATTCACCGTAGCTTGCTAGGAAACCTAGCCTGCAGACCTAGTTATGAATCTCGTGAACACCTTTAATGTAAGATGGGAAAATATTTCGCTTGACCAGGATCGTATTGACGTCGGCATCAAGCCGCCAATAATTGCATGTTTTATCTAAATGTGTGCTTACGGGTTTATTAAATGTCGTGGTGTGTCATGTGGCATGGGTACAGATGTCGTCGGATGGACCGAACCACAACGAGTTCGACTTCGAGTTTCTGGGCAACACCACGGGGGAGCCATACCTGGTGCAGACCAACGTGTACGTGAACGGGGTGGGCAACCGAGAGCAGCGGCTTGGCCTGTGGTTCGACCCCACCAAGGACTTCCACTCCTACTCCGTCCTCTGGAACCAACACCAAGTCTTGTATGTTTACTCCACTTAACTACGTTACACAAATGCCATTAGGGATAAAAACACGGTAAAACATTAATTACAGCACGTGTCGCGCATGTTTTATGCACTTACTTATAAAGCCCTAGTGAGAGATATTGATGATAAATCTTGGTTGTCATGTGACTTGATCTAAATCTGGTGCGGTTTCATCTTTCCAAAGTTGCGTCCAAAGACAAAAGAGAGTACCCTGAGAAAAGAGGATGGAATCTTGGGGAGGAAACTACAATGTTGAGTGGACTACACATGCCAGGGAGGAGAGAGGAGAGAGAGGGACCTCCATTTGTCTATTCTCTCCTGCTTTTGCTTTGTCACGTATATCATTTCTGCACATCCACATTCCTTTTCCGTACTGAAAACACGGGTTCATTGTCCTTATCCCTTGATCTACTAAGCAAGATTTTCAAGGTTAATATTTAACATATTGAGAGCGATCACATGGTATTATCTACTGCAGTACAACAGTCTGAGTCGATGAGTCAATTGGGTGGTCCTTGGTCTTTTGTCGTGTAGGTTTCTTGTGGACGAGACTCCGATCCGCGCCCACACCAATTTGGAGCACCGAGGCATCCCGTACCCGAAGGACCAGCCCATGGGCGTGTACAGCTCGATATGGAACGCCGACGACTGGGCCACGCAGGGCGGCCGCATCAAGACCGACTGGACCCACGCGCCCTTCGTCACGTCCTACCGCAACTTTGACATCGACGCATGCGAGTGCCCGGTGACCGTGGCGGCAGCCGACAACGCCAAGCGGTGCAGCAGCGGTGGGGAGAAGCGGTACTGGTGGGACGAGCCCACGGTGTCCGAGCTGAGCCTCCACCAGAACCACCAGCTCAAGTGGGTGCGGGCCAACCACATGGTCTACGACTACTGCATGGACACGGCCCGGTTCCCGGTCACCCCGGCCGAGTGCGAGCACCACCGCCATTGAGCGAAATTCCCATGTGAAATGGGATCAACTGGCCCGACGCCGGCGGGTCATGGAGGTCGGATTCTAGGGTGTGAAGGAGGTTGGGTTTTGTAAAAAAAAATCATAAGAAAAGCCAAACATGTTCTCCATGTTCTTTGATATCTTTCTTTTAAATCTTTTGGTGGTGTTGGATCTTCTTGCAGCATGTAATATAATTTCGTTTCGAATGAAAAGCCAGGGCTATAAATATTATAATTTTCTTGTCATTGGCCAAAATGGGTATTGCAAAAAGCTTGCAAAATACGTTGGTTTCCATGTCTAAGTCTAGCCTCTAGGGATGATGCTGGGAGAATGTTTCGGTGCACTGAATCACGTGTCTAGGGAGAGGATGCTGGCGTGATCGGTTCAAGTTTTTGGCGGGGTTTCGATCCAGTAACTGCGACATTGTCGCCACTCACGAGTCATGATTTGAATCATAAAAAGACTGGATGAGGTATGGACCACACCCCTCCATGATTTTTGTTGCGGAGTTGCATCCTATCAAAATCTCCTGTGCTGTGTGGCCCTCTTGTCGTAACAATCGTCCGAATTCACTAGCGTCGTTCCGATCTTTTGGCAAACTAAACGTTACAATCGATCGATTACAGCAGCAAAAGATCAAAGCTGCGGTGATATGTGGGGGGTGAAATGAAATGATTAGAAAGATTCTGCACGTCCCACTACCACCATCATCCATAGCTACAGCTATAGGACAGAGATGCAGAAAGATGGGATGCAGAGTGACGTGTTGAGCAAAAGCCAAAGCCACCCCTCCTGTCATAAACTGCCATGATTTTGAAAAATAAAATTCCCGCAACAGGAGCTCAAAAGAACGTGCATTTAATTTTTAAACCAGCTAACGTTCTGCACAAGAAATTGGGTCGATATTGAATGGTGATTTGACAGATCAGTACGAGAGCGCTCATGAGCTACCAGCGGCAATGATTCGTAAGAGAAGATATTTAGGACTTTGAAACGAGATTGGAGCGCCGGTCAAGTGTTTCTTGGGATGTTCATTTGAATTCTTAAAATAATATATTCAAATATCAATGTAACTTCATGTAAGTTTTGCATTGCCACACTAATAACATTTTAACATCTCGATAAGAATTTTTCAATCTTTCGAAACCCAAGTCGAGGCTCCTGCACCCGTCGATTTACACTCAAAATGAACGGTTCGCTAACCAATGAGTTCTCGATTGTCGAGGACCCAACGGGTCTCGACCTTGGAGGCTTTTATGAGGTCGATCCATCGGAACCGAATCTTAGGCAAGTTTTCGCTAATGTTTAAAGATGAATTATTGCTGCCACTTGAAATCTGCCAATGACTCCATGAAAAAGCACAGCAAGTTCCGTGAGATTGGGAGGAAGTAGCTGAGGAAGTGATGGCGATCTTTATAGCCACGTTAATGCATTACAAGGGCAATACGCACGCGCCCATACAGTACGAAAGAAAGGGGAAAACATTAACCGGGAACGAACCGATTGCCTGGCCGGGGGTCCCTCTTTTTGCCCAAAGAACCAAAGTTTGGCACAAAGGGTTGAAAACTGTGGATTCATAAGTGAACATGAATGAAGAGGCATTATTGCATGTCTCCTATCTTCTCTTACCTGACATTCACATGCACCACAACCACATATGCATTGCCATTGCATGGCCATGCTCCAAAAAAATCTAATGGTTCAAATATAGATTAGATCTCCACCCTTTTAGGGAATATTTCTTTTGAAGTATTTGGTGTATTAAGACACTTTATATACGAATTATGCTGAGGTTATGCCATATTGATTGTGGAATGAGCTAGTGGTCGGTTTATAAGTGTGTGGGAAAACCTCACCGTTCGAGTTAGTTTTTGGGGTGAGAGAGATTCAAGATCACTCAACACTGGTATCAGAGCAGGTTACCGACAAGTCTGGACCTAACAATCTCTTGGGAGACACGAGTTGTCACGGCTCCGATCCAAGCCTGATGTGTGAGGGAGGGATTATTAGTGCGAGGGAAAATTTCACCCTTTAAGCTAATTTTTGGAGTGAGAAAGGTTCAAGACCAGCTTACAAACAAGTCTGAATCCGAGTATGAGGGAAAATTTTATTCTTTAAGATAAATTTTGGAATGAGGGACGCATAAAACCATCCAACAAATTATAATTGAAATTGCCTGTTTGCTAAAGATAAAATAAAATTGGAGTGAGATTCCACTATCACAGCACAGTTTTTACCATGTGAATGATTTGACTCTCTACCAACTATTTGGATTGTAAAGTGAACTTTTTCCATACGTAAAGAAGAGGGTTAAGGGTTTGGAGGAAATTAAAGAGGAAAAAAAAGAAGAATTTCCCATCACTAATCAAAACTGGACGACCTACTTTTTTTTCTGGTGTCGGAGCGACTTTGGGCAGTCGAGTCCAAAAGCAAAGGCATATTATAATGACATCCGGACAAGACCCCATGATCGATAAAGATGGCAATTTTAGGAGGTGCTAATTGGAATTCCAAAAGAATAAACTAGTTTGTTTAATTCGATCAGAAGAGAAAAGATTCGTGCTTGTGAATTGGGCAGGTCAATTCGACCAAATAAAAAATGGGCAGGTGAAATTATTGCAAAAAGCAGTTCATCACTAGGCTACCACAGCTGATAAAAAATAGTTTTATTTATTTATTATCTCTTGTTTTGCTGAGATTTGATAGGCACTACGACGTTGCAAAGCATATTTATCACATTCGCATAATTGAAGGCCGATCTAGAAGTGACTAAAATTGGATTTTAAGGGCACCTTAAAATGTCAGGACGAGCTTGCTTTTTTTATTGAATAAAAAGCTACGGTATACTTTCCGGCGACCGCTTAGAAAAATATTATAACTTTAAAAAGATATAATATAAAGAATGAAAAATGCATGTAATCAAGTTAAACAAACAAAATTAAAATGCAAATATTGCGAAATTTGAAAGGAAAAAAGAAGAAGAAGTGTGTTGTTTTAAATTTTTCGTGGGTCGTGATTATGGTCAGAAATTAGAAGTATGAAAATGGTCTGCATCCTCTCTCTCTCTCTCTCTCTCTACAATTTATATTAGGAGGGAAAATGACAAAAATGGTTCATGAATTTTATTCCAATATGCAATATGATTCATGAACTTTTAATTTATTCAATATAGTCTATGAACTAATGTATAATATCGTTCCTGAACTTTTAAATTGTTTAATACGGTCCTTAAACTTTTGGTACATATTCAATATAGTTTGTGGACTAAATAGAACATTTATCAAAAGATTAGGGACTACATAGAATAAATTGAAAGTTCAGGGACCACATTATATGTTGAAGTAAAGTTCAGTGACTACATTGATCAAATTAATAGTTCAAGGATCGCATTGCATATTGGGCCAAAATACAAAGATCATTTGTGTCATTAATCCTATTAGGAGTGATCGATTTTAAGGTGGATAAATTTCAGTTTTTGGAACCTATAACCTATTCCGTACACCTTGGAATCCACCCTATCTATTTGGTCCGATTCCACAATTTACCAAGGAACCGACCAATATTTTTTTATTGTTTCATTTTTTTACATTACATTGGAAATTTCAAAAGAATATCGTTCAAACGTTACTTTATGCTTTTTTAAAGAGTGTTGTGTTGTATTCTCTATTCAAGAGCAAGAGCAAGAAATGAGAGAAGAGAAGCTGCAGTCCGAGAAATAAGAAAGTAATAGGGTTTGGGTTTTCAAAATAAGTTCCAAACAGCTAGTTCTCAGGTGGGTTCAGAACTTAGAATTGGGAACCAACTGGCATGGTACCGGTTCCATTTGGAATCGGGAATTGGACCAGAATGAACTGGGTAGGGCTAGTTCAATTCTGGTCTCGACTGGACTCTGAATCGGTGCTCACCCAATATGCCCTTTGCTATGACAAAAAAATGTGAAAAAAGTTGTTACAATAATGAAATATCACTAGCCTTCTTGAAACTTAAAAGAATAGAAGTGAAAATTGTGGAAAAGGATAAGCCTCTAGTCGATCAAATCCGACAATGACCAGAGCAAAGCTTTCAAGGTAGCTAAATGTCGAGGCAATAATTAGTCATCACTTTGACAATTGTATTGTCATTTAGTATAGACTTGATTTGATTTGCAATTGCAATGTGATTTAACGGGAGACAGTCCCCCACTGCCATATTCCCCCCATTGTCTATGTCCCTCGAATCATATCAATTTCTGGGACTAATTTACTTTATTCGACTGCTTTTTAGCTCCCCCATCAAAGGTCATGCACTATGTGCACCGAAAAGTTGAATGGGATTGATTGGTGAAAACTTTGGGAAAAGAGCAGCTCTTGCATGAATGATTTGTCAGAGTTTTATTAAGGTAATCCGCTGAAAACTCTTGTCCTAATGTGGTATGCATCGAAGTCTACAATAATAGTAGAACAGTGTACTTCTCGCTGGAGAGGAAACATTCCACTTCTCGTCTAGTAGACTACGAAATCAAGGATCGCCCTCGTGTGAGATAGTACACAATGGAGAGATCGACTTCGATAATCGAGTAAACATGAGGCTTGATGACTCATATCCAGCCTCCCCAATCTCATTGGCTGTATAGAGACGAGATAGCTCGCAGGCTCTGCGAGGTTTCATTCCAAACGGTTAATCCGAGCAAGTGTGGGTTTGTGTTATGTCACAAAGAGAAAAGGATTGCTGGCTCATTCGGGATACGGTGTAGATATGTTCCGACCTGCCCTTGAGAAGTGGAGACGCAAACTCCAGGAAAATTATTTGCTTGAATAATCCCGTGCTCCTATTCTAAAGCTATTTCTAAAGATGAACGATTTCGCTCGCAATAAAGTAAGAAAAATTTTGCTAATGTCTCGACGAGAGAATGTAGATCGATTGATCACGCAGAGAACGTCGAAATGAAAAGCGCGAAAATATGGCTGAGTCCCCTGGAATGGTTGTCAAGCAAGCATCCATTAGGAGATACGTTCAAACTAAACGAGCATGATGACATTGAAGTGCTTCAGATGAACATGGACAGAGAGCGAGAGAGCTGATGCATCTTATGCTTCAAGGCAATGAAATGCTGTCAAGAGGTTGCAAACGGGGTTTGGAGCTGTCTCAAATAGCCCATTGGACTTGGAGATTGGGAGATAAGGAGCTCAAATGGGCCACCTTGAGAGAGAATGGACCTGGTGTTTTCCCTCTTCATTTTGTGGTTTTTCTCCCGTGACAAAGACCAATCTGAGCTGATCTCCAGGGACACCGGGACAGCATCAAAGATGGTCCGGCACGTGGGGACAAGGAGCTGCAAAACTCGCGAATCTGACACTGCCATTCGTTCATTGAATGCTTCTCATTTTGGCCCGGTGGGATCCTAAAGCCTGCGTGCAGCAACGGATTTCAAATGACAGATCCTTTGCAATGCTTACTGATCTCCATTGGGGTTCATCCAATCAAAAACAAACAGGAAAAAGGGTATCTCCTTGTGCCGGCCATCTGGTACAATACGCCAACATGAAATGTGTTCTTTACATTTGATACGAGGGTTCTGCAAAGTTCGATGAGACTTGGGGCATTTCAAAGAGGTTTTGTGCAAGCACAAGGGGCAACTGGGAAAAAAGCACAGTTCAAGAGTAAATTTGAGATTTCTCGTAGCAATACATAAGGGACATTTTGAATTTTTTTCCTTCATTGGAAATCTGGGAACTTCCTATATAACATGATGCATAGTATAAGATCCGCTCCATGTTGTTCCTTCACATTTCGGAGCTCGATGCAGATAGCGGAATAACATGGATGTAAAGTTTGATTCCGCGAACTTAATACATATCAAGAATCGGTCGACCGCAATGACCATAATCAGGATCGGTGGAGATTGGTTTTCGGGTGGATCGATTCTTGACCTGGATTGGAATTACAGCGGTGCGGCAATTGCGAAAGCCCTTTCAAACATCACAGTAAATCCATCATTTATTGCTTGATGATGATGTTGTTCTTGATTTTTCTCGAATTCAACATAAACCAATGAAAAAATTCAAAACAAAGAGGACATAAGTACAGGGGCAAAGACTAGAGAGAGGAGGAATCGAATTCAGATCTCCGGCCAAGCAAAAGTCGCCTCTCCGATCTTCTTTTTCCCGGAAAGCCATACGCTTCACGACGACCTCTTCCTCCCTCTCCTGAACTCGCCCTCGACGATCTCCTCGAACCACGCCCTCGACTGCTCCATCAGCTCCGGGCTCAGCCGGAACATGAGGACGCAGAACTCCATCTGGCTCAGCACCCCGTCGCCGTCCACGTCGCCCTCCCGGAGCATGCCGGCGAGCTCGTCGTCCCCAAGGCCCTGGAGGCCCAGCACGGCGCTGTTCCTCCTCAGGCTGTCCAGCGTGATCACCCCCTTGTCCCTGTCCATCAGGAGCTCGAACCCGTTGCACAGCTCGAGGATCAGCCCGTCGCCGCCCAGCTTCTCCGCCATCGCCGGCAGCATGTCCTCGAACTCCACCCTCTTCTCGACGCCGCCGTCCATGGCCCGGATTCAACGGAGCAAAAAAGCCGGAAGCTTTCCTCTTTCTTTCTGGGCACGAAGAGCGATGCGATCGTGGGTAGCTCTGCTTTTCGATGTCGATGAATCGAACGCAATGCGTGCAGACGAATTTATACCCGGGCGCGCGTGTAGATAAGAGGGTGACATAATATTAAAGAAAGAAAAAAACGGCGAGACCGCCATGGATGACAGCAAAGGAACAGGGCGTCATGTTGGTGGTCGGGGTGGGTTGATTCCCTCCCCGTGCAGAGCGAGACAGACAGCTCTGTTTCTGAGAAGCAATGTCGGGGGCAGTCCCGTCACTCCCCCGCGCCACGCACCGCTTCCGTCGAGCACCGCGAGGGGCAACCCGGTCAATTCGCGGGAGCCGTGTCTCCTCGAGCAGAGCTTCCTTGTCTGGGTTGACTTGCGGGGTGGGTCGTGCCTGGATGCATGGGTACAGGGTGTACATCTGTTCACATGCAGAGGCAGAGAGGATGAAGATGCTGCGGCACACGGGGTTTGACAGTACTACTCTCATTTTTTAGTTCTAATTGTCTAACTTTGGTTCGGAATCTTAGGAACGGGTCTGTTTTGCTTCCGCATTATTCTGTTTAGTTTATTCAAATGCAGGTCGCGAGGATCAAATTCAAATGGCGCAACCAGAAATCCGAAATTCGCTGGTAGGATCATCACCTCCTCAAGTCAAGCATCGAGACTCGTTCTACGGATGATATGATTGATGATTACCGATCACCACGTAGAAAATACATGCCAACTTGTGTTTTTCCACGGGATCGGTATGGATTACACTGTTCCTCGACGATCGATTCAGCTGGTCTACTAGACATTTTCGCGTGAAGACTTCTCAGATGCGGAAAACCATGGCCGTATCTACGGCCATTAGCATCTGTTTGGTCAAATTTTGACTGCTGAAATAAACAGCAAAAGAAGGAAGTTGAATAGCGCATGTACGCATTTCTTCAGCTGCAAATGGGTTTGCACTTGTCTTGTACGCGTACACTAAGCACAGAACATACATCTTGGTAGAGCAATGGAAGATTATAATTAATACATCATAACTCTTGACGATCAGACCTAATCGTTTGACATACTTGATCTAATTTATAGGTCCGGATACGAATCTAGACAAACTGCTGAAGAATGTAATATCAGTTCAAGCTCGAGTTGAACGTGACTGAACCAATACGATATGGCCATGTAGCTGATTCGTCCAGTCAAATGAATGATATTATACATTGTACAGTACATCTCCACAAGAAAAGCATTGAACGTAGAGATCAAAATTGCCTCAACACATTTTCAAACCAACAAATGATTGCATCGATGAGATTCATTTCTAATGCACATGAATTCGATACCGAACTAAAAAGTAGGGCCCGCGCTCATTCTGCTACCGGCCGTTCACCAGAGTAACTGTCAGTCCATTGAAAGAGCAGCTTTCCAATTTGCTAGACGTGGTTGCCCTACTCGAGGGGCATCGTCTCACGACAAAAGCCGGTTGCTTAGGGGTCGGAAGAGTAGCAGTTTCGTTGCCTAGCATGAACACCGCATTCGACATGGTGGGGCGATCGTTCGGGTCTTCTTGTACGCATAATAGCCCAAAGTTGACGCACCTCAGATACTCGTTCGTGTTGCAGCTTTTACGGAGTGTCGGGTCCATCAAATCCAGCGCCTTCTCTTCTTTCCACAACAGCCATGCCTGACATTTTTTTTTTGAAGTTCCAGAATCATTATGTGTTGGGACATAGAAAGAAGGAACTTACTTAAGATGCATATATAGGAGTCTAATTATCACTCACATAGCCTAAGAGACTCAAACCTTGCTCAGCCTGATAGAATCCCGTGTTTCTTTTCCCGCTGAGCACTTCGAGTACCACAACACCAAAGCTGAAAACATCGGACTTATCTGAGAAGAATCCGTCCAGTGCGTACTCTGGGGACATGTAGCCGCTGCCAAGTAAATAGTCAGTCATATAGTTAGAACATGAAAATGAGAGGAACATCAATAAATTTAGCCTTCTAGGACCAGAAAACAAGGGATAACTACTACTACTCACTAAGTTCCGACTACTCTCTCTGTGTTCACTGATGTTTCTTTGACTCCAAATATCCTCGCCAATCCAAAGTCGGATATTTTGGGATTCATCTCCTCGTCCAGCAGGATGTTGCTCGTTTTCAGGTCCCTGTGGACGATTCTCAACCTAGAGTCTTGGTGTAGATACAAAAGCCCCCGGGCAATTCCGAGTATGATCTTAAAACGCGCGTTCCAATCCAATGACACGCATAAAGTCCTATCTGCAACATATTGATATATCCCATAAGGAGCATAGAACTTAGATTATGTTAAAAGAATTATGGGCTTGCCTGAAATGTTGATTTTTGAATCGGTTTGTTTGGTGAACGTACTATAGGAGTGAAAGAGGTTAGTTACATGAGTATACAAACTAACCAAATATAAAGGAGTCTAAGCTTTTATTGGGCATGTACTCATACAGCAAAATCTTTTCATCTTCTTCCACACAGTAACCCAAAAGCCTCACGAGATTCCGGTGTTGAAGTTTGGCGATCAAGACAACCTCGTTTTTGAACTCCTCGAAACCCTGACCAGAAAAACTCGAGAGCCGTTTCACTGCCAATACTTGTCCTCCAGGAAATTTGCCCTGCTAGGAGAAAAGCATTCTTTTAGCTGTGTGGCGAATTGAAGTTAAGCTTTTAACTGAGTGATTGGTAATTAAGTACCTTGTAAACAAGCCCAAATCCTCCCTGTCCTAGCTTGTTTATATTTGAGAAATTATCGGTAGCTGCTAGTATGCTCTCCAAATCATAAGACGGAACATCAATCCCATTTGTACTATTCTCTTTGAACCGACCCGAGTCGATCAATTCTTTAACTTGTCTCTCGCTGTCATATAGTTGACGTGCAGAATATCTCCTTATGTTTGTCCAGTTCTCTGAGTAATGACAAAAGCGGCACACATCAGTTGCTGTCCATATGAAATAGAGTTGAAGTCACGGCCAAAGAGCAGATATTTACTCATTTACCTTTTCTCTTGCCGGAGTTTCTCCTATGTATGTAGAGAAAAGCAACAGTGCTTAAGAGAACAATCAGAACAAGAATACACGCGAACGTTATGGAAATGATGACAGACGGTGGCAGCTTTTTGCTCGATAGACTTCCATGCTTGTTACCTGCAAAAAGGACTGGTCCTTTAGTTGGAGACAAGCCGATGCTAGTCTATCCTTTCTTTAGGCGACAAGCAAGTCCAGAGAAGTACGTAATTAGAACTATTGCTAAACACTCAGAGTAACTTGAAAGCAATGAAGATGATTGACTCTGATTCTATCAGCTGGGTACTAGCTGTCTATTTAAGTCGTTAGATTGAACAACATTTTTAGTTAATAGCATGCTCACCTCTAGTACAATTAAGGGATAGAGGATTCCACCGAAAATTGGGTTTGCAGAGACACCTCCTACCATCTAATGTTGTGCTACAAGTTGAATCGGGCCAATCTGTGCAGTCTGTGGATGTAATGCAGGTCGGCTCCGGTGGTGGATCCCAAGTAATCTCTATCTCGTCTATGCCTCCTATTAAGGATTTGGGTTTACTGCTTGTTTTGCCACCGCACGAGCTTGTCAAGTGAAAAGGCAGAGACCAATTGAATTCCAGGACCTTGCAACTATCTGCTTGTTTCAATTTGATAAGGAATTTACGTGATTCGGGGATGATTCGTGTCACTTGGTAGGTGCCATTAGGCAATTTGAAATCGACTGTTCCTGTAGATGTGTTGCAGTAGAAACTACTATACATGGGGTCTCCGCATTGTGATCCAGTGCTGAGGGGATATGGAACCAGGTTTGTTCCACAAATTTCACAATTTCTAGCTGTAGATTCTGCAATATCAGCACATGGTAGGGAGTTTTAGGAGCCATGGAGTTCAAGTGGAAATGTTGTAAATGCATAGATTTAAGGTACATATATGGACACTGATGCTGTTTTCACTCTGAGATTGACAGGCAGTTCCTTTTAGCGCACTTCAGAAATGCAATCGATCATCATAATAGAATCTCTTTTTGTCTTTAAACACAAGGGCATGATCAGAAGTATCTTGTGACACTACAATAGAACTGTCAAATGATTTTACTAGTTACCGTACCAAACAAAGGATGGTAATGTTTGTCTGAATTCAATTTTTTATTGTTCCCCACGAACTCAAGGATGTTGAAAGCTCGAAATTCATTCGAGAAAGACACGGACATGTATTTAACGTCTGAATTATCCAAAAGTCAGTTTGCTGAGATAGTTCAATATATAGTGAGGGACTCGCACTCCGATTATTTCTGTACCATTGTACCAGGAATACAGAGCAGAATAGAGACTTTTTGTCTCACCAGCTGCATAAAAGGGCCAGGAACGTTATTGAGGATAAAGCTCCCAAAATTAGCCATTTTCTTGTCAATTCTTTTTAGTGTTGAGTAGTGAAGTAGGAGACCGTTTTAGGATGAAAAGACTTACCTATATCAGAAACTGCAACACGGATGAACAGATCGCGGCCTTCATCATAACCGTCCTGAAGATTATTAAGATTCTCTGACCAAATCCAGCAGAGCCCACCACCTGAACCTCCATGTGCCGCAGCAGATTCGCCTTCTTCAAATGAGTAAGCCTGGCACTGGCAATTATTAAGGCACTCTTTCTTGCACTCCATTTCGTCTGCAGCCACGAATTCTGAGTCCGGCTTTCCCACTTTCATCGCCTTGAAACTGAGGAATGTCTCGCTCCCGGCGCTCTTGCTGCACAATATCGACTTCCTAATGCACCCGCCAGAAAAGTCCCCTGAATTCCACAAGTCCGGTGAGCTTGGATCAAAACCCGGCAAGCACTTGCACGCCACATCGGCATCACTGTTGCAGCTTCCGAAATCCCCACACATGTTATACACACTGCATCTGTCCCTCGGCTCCGCCCAAATGAAAGCCCAGACCTTTTCCGTGTCGCGCTTTAAGTACTGAACTTGGCCCGAAACACTCATGATCAGCCTCGTATCGCTGTACATCGACGATGTGAGGTATGGGATGGAAGCGTTGTTGTCTATGCTGGTCGTGAAGTTGGACAAGAAGTATGAGATCGAGTATGGCATGTCGTCCGAGGTGATGAACTTCCCCGAGACTCCGCTTTTCCAATACCGGATAGATCTCCTCCAGACCACAAACTGGTACTGCCCATCTTGATCCAGCTGAAAAGTGTAGTTCCCTGGCGACGGGTCGTCGTAGCTTCGCCACGAAGTGAGGGTCATGTTCTCATCCATCTTCATCCCCGGAAGGAACGTGTCGGTCGGGTAATCAAAGCTCTGCCACAGAATCCTCATCCCCAAGTGAGACTCTGGCTCTCCACTCTCTCCTCGTCCGGCCACGACTAAATTACCTGTGTCCTGTAGCTGAACTTTCAATGCAAGACGTGATGATTCTTCAAGATTTGTTGCCCAGTAAGATTTTCCAGTTTTGTCCAACACTTTGAGGTTACCATCTTGTGCCAGGGTCAAAACTCCACTCACATCCAACACAGGGTGGTCTCTGTTAGCAACCCAAACTACGGTCCGTGGGTTGGACTCGTAATACCATATTCCGAGGTACCTTCTGTGATCAGAGCCTGAGCTTCCATTGGGGCTGAAGAAGCCAAGTTGAAAGGTCTCTCCATCAGAAACGAGAGTGTCTCCGTGTTCATCACTAAGTGGACCGCCAAGTGTCATGTTGTCTCTAGCAGAAGAACAACACAACAGACTGGCAATGATGATTGCTGTCCTCACGATCCATCTTCTTCTTTTAAGTGTCGTAAATCTCATGATCCTGAACGAATGATGATGAGAGAAAGGTGGGTCTTTGGGTCAGTTCAGGTCTTGGACTGGAGACAAACAGTGGCACTTAATAATGTCTTGAAAGAAGTTAAAAGGAGAAAAGGTTCCAAATGTGGCGCTGCTCGGGAAGAAAAGCTGACCACTGCCTTTTGCACCATTGACAGTGTTGTCCACCGAAAGCAGAAATTTAACGAGCGTCAGGTTGCAAGAGGAGATGATGGCTGTGAGGTGATGCTAATGAAAACTGATGACTCGTGTGATTTGGGGAAGACGAAGTGCCTCAGCACATCAAAATGCCTGTGTTTCAAGGAGTGCGAGGTCTAAGGTTTGAGTCATGTAAGGTGTAAGCTCTTAGGATAGCGTGACCTCTAAGGTCCCGGAAAAGTAAATCCTAGCAAGTCCTTCGCCCCCACATGAATGGCCTACACCTTTGGTCAAATCTGTGTGCCTGGCATCGTGTTATACTTACCGCATCCGCGCATTCGGCAGTGTGTATTGCTTATACGACGGGCTCGTTAGCTAATATTTGCATCTCTCTAGCATTCTTCCTTTTCTTTTTCCAGAAAAAGGGCGTCGCTGCTTTTGAAAGACATTTAGCAAACGCTTCGTAGTTGCAGTGCTGCTTCTAGAAAACTATAATATCCAATTCCAAGTTGCTACAACTTTAAAACATGCATTACTAAACGCACAAAGTACAACACTTCAACGAAGTAAGTGTTGGACAGCTTTGATTATATCCAACATACTTTCCATCCACCGACATATTTATATCATAGATAACATGACAAACGAAGTTGATCACGGTACAAATAATGCATTAAGCCGATACTTTTCTCGGCCGAACTTAATGAGGTTCTCATTAAAAGTTAACGCGTGTATGATCTAACCAAATGTTAGCTCATTAATAACCTGTAATTAGGAAAAACAAAAGTATGATAAATTATTGGGGGCGCAAAAGGGGGAGCATTAGGTCAAGATTGGTAGCTGATGTTTATGGTTTGTTTATTCACCCCCTTCTTTCCCGTTTCTGGGATCAACATGTCTGCAATCTTTAAACTTTAAACACGGATTACGCGGGGTCTCAGTTTCTTGAAAAATCAAAAAAGTTAGAAACGATCATGGCTAAATTCTTGTTTTTGGCTCTTTCTGGTTTCCACCCAGCAGATGGGGACCTCCCTCCACTCCCGTCAACATCACAAGTGGATTTAACTTTGTAAAGTCGAATGGACAAAGAAACACGTGCATGTCCTCGGCGCAGATGGAGACAGCGAAACCTAGAATTGGCTGAAATTACGACCCTTCTCAATTATTATTACGTGCTCATTCTAAACATCAGTTCTTGGCAATAGGGTTTGATGATTCGACACTTTCAGTGGCCGTCTCATTCATATACCAGCACCCTATGTAGATGAATGTTCGCAGGAAGGTGCCGGCAAAGGTTGAAAAGAAGATGATCACAAGGCCACAAATGCTGATTTGTTGATTCTTTCATACACAGGTGCAGTATACAGAGTCCAGCGAGAGAAGTGACTGATCCAAGGAGTTCCGTTTTCTTTGCGCCCTTTGTTTCGCATGTGGGACATCACTCCATGCTAATGTTGCTGCTGTCTTCTTTAGGACGTTGTGCCAACACGATGATTGAGCACTCGCAAGTGAGCACAGAAACGTTTAAGGAAGAAAGGGAGCACGGATATGGTGCTTTAAGGGACCTTGAATAAGTAAACTTAGGTTTACAGAATAACGGAACATATATAGATGATCAAATCATTAAGCATTTAGCGAACTGGAGATCCCGTGCGGTAGTGATGGACATATCGTTTCTCGATGAAGCTGGGTATCTTCACTTTTCAAGAACTCTGATGTACCGGCATGAATTTCACCATGCCCTCTTAAGCTTCATTCTTCTGAAACTACCATGGAAGTTAGCCAAAATGGATGGAAATCAAAGCCTTTACGTGGCCTGCTCAAGGTGAAATGATGCGGATATAGATATCTAGGAACGGATTTAGAGTGGGGGGAAAGGCAACATCATAGCTGTAGTTGTGAATTAGACATGAGTGGGCCAATAAGTAAAGGTGACACATCACGGGAGCTTAAGAAGGCAAGAGGAAACTCAAGAAAGCTTGCCCATTTTCCCTGATGATCTTTGTCTCGTAGCATTTGATTCGCTAACTTTAGAACGCAGATAGAGAGAAGTGGGGCACGAGAATGATTTGTTTGGTTTCTGGGTTTCTTCTGCCCGACAGGGACTTGGATTTACCTGCGAGTTAAAGCTTATGCTAGGGTTGACGATTGCGGTGGGGATCGATGTTGTTATGAGGTGACAAAAGGCAATTGTACTAACTTGTCGAGGGTTGAGTTGACGGGCATGCGAGATGATGACGAGGGCTAGGCGTATGGATGACGAGGTTGACTCATGTTATTGGTTTTGGATCGATTGAAAAATTATCGCCAAAATTATTGAAATCTTAAAACTGTCACCAGAAAAAGTATATGCGAATCTACATGTCAACGTATGTATATTGTGAAAGTTTCAAGTGATCGGGATTGAAAAAAAGTCAAATTAACTGCATCGTGGGATTTAGAGTAAGTAAAAACTGAAAAGTAAAAATCTGTCCAAACACATGATACCGTTACGTGGAATGATTGTATTAGACGGAAATTGAAATCAATTCATATATCTTTGGAAGGAATCTCTTGCTTTTCAAGAAAATAAATGGGGTCATAATTTTTAGGTATTAGCATAAAACGTGATGAACTAATTTTTGTCAAAGAATGCCTTGATTTCTACCAGAAAAAGAAGGTGAACTTTTGTGAAAGTTGAAAGCAGGTGATAAGCAATGTAAAACGTTAAGAGTTTAGAAAATTGAGCATGTAATAACCGTTTTATTCTTTGGGGAAAAAAAAGTTGCAAAGGTGGCTATGAGCCATTCTTTTGGATATTGAGATCTTATGCAATTGATTCAATTATTTCCTTAAAAAAGATTATGAAACATTGTGCTTCAATTTTTTTTTTTTTTATAACCCGGGAACCGCCGTACAGCCGACAGCCGGCGTTTGTGCTTCAATGTTAATAGCAAATCACGACATTAAAAGCAAAAAAATCAAGTCGATTTACCCCCTAACTCAAATAGGAGTTGTTAATGCCAAATTAGTTGGTAAACTCTAATTGAAATTAGTAATTTCTAAAAAGAGTTAATAAATTTCGAAAGTTGTCAGCCAAGGCAAATCAAAGTGATACCTCAATTTTGACAAAAACAAGTGATATCTCAATTAAAAAACAGTTTGTGAATTAAACAAAAAAAGAAAATAAATGTTGGTACGAAGCAACTTACTCTAAGTTAGTAACCGAAAACTAGCTGAAAACTTAATCGGAAAAAAGCGGTGCATGACTCACATAGATGTTTGTAATTTCTTATGGTAATTGGTAAACTCAAGGTGTCGGTAACAATTATATATAAAAGTTTATAAATAATAAGATAGGTTGTTTCCTTACAAATTGTCAAAAGCCACGCAATCATCCGCACTAATGACCGAGTTCTTTGGTCATACAAAATCGTAGTAAACCTTACTAAATATGTTTAAAGAAGACTATTATGGGTGCGTTTGTTTTAGGAAAAGTATTTTTCGGAAATCCGTTTTCCACACTTTTTCACCGAAAATGATTAGTTAACCGAAAATACTTTCCGATCAAGAAAAACATTCATGTATAAAATTAGGAAAGTGAATTCCCTAATCTAAGAAGGTGAAAATACTTTCCGAAATTACTTCCCTTTACTTTTTTAATATTTTATGCTCTTCTTTCTTTTTTTCTTCTTTTCTTTTTCTTTTTTTATTTTTAAAAATAAAAATATTTAAAAATTCGATTTTTTTTTTTGCCAAAGATAAAATCATGGGATTGAAATCATTTTCCAAACATTTTTCAAATGAGATCCAAACACCAGAAAATATTTTCGATCACATATCACCAAACAAAGGAAAACTAACTATTTTCCTGAAAATTAATTTTCCGGAAAATATTTTCAAAAAACGTTACATTTTTCGCGAAACAAACGCACTTTATGTGACCAAATGAAAAGAAGGCTATTTGGATAGCTTACTTATGAGCATGTGATGACTCGATTCTAATTCCAATTTCGAGAAAGAAAGCTAGCTGAGCTAAGGAGACGCTCGAATTTCCAAGGTAATTATTTAAATGATTCATTCAGCGTTCGACCCACAGCTCGAAAAAAGAGTTTGACAAAATCGCCTCCCAACAAAGTCAATGGTATTCAGACAAAATCATGACTCTGTTGAAAGAAGCTTTCTGCAGCAGTGGAGTAACCGAGATTGACCATATATTTCCAGGCTATCACATCTTTTGGACCACCTGAATTGCAAGATTCAAGGCAATGATTAATTTGTTATTACCTAAGTCCCATTTCTAATGCAACCAAAAAAAAAAACAGTCATCTCCGTGCCGAGAAACTTCTGTCGCTAAAGCTGTAGACTAGCGTTCTCTTCTGGTCGCAATGGCGGACGTGAAATTTTGAATGAAAAGGGACGTAAGCTAAGAAGCCCTGACCTACAAGGACGAGGTGCAAACATGCCGGATGAAATTTGTAAGAATGTTGTATCGAACACCTAGCAATTGAGATGGCAATGGCCACTGTTGGGCCCTCTATGGTGAAGGGACGTATCGAGAACCGAGACAGAACGGTCACGCAGAAAACAGAGAAAATAGACGATGCACGAATTTACCCGGGTTCACCTCGATTAGGGTTACGTCACCGCAAAGAGATTTCACTATGTTTTTTTCGATTCTGACCACTCAACTCGTACAATGATCGGAAAAACGAGCAAAATATATATATGCCCCAAACGGGCCCAAAACCTAAACCTATATGAAATCTCTTAATCTCGCACTATACGGGCCAGCCCAAACCCGTTGAGGTTTCGGGCGCCGCCCCGAGCCCCCGCTCCACTCACCGGCGAGCGGGCCGCCATGGCCAGGCGGCGGAACCCTCGTCGGGGCGCGCCCGAACCCCCGCCGGACCAGGCGTAGGCACACGTGTCGGGGGCGCTACCCCCGAACCCCCGCATTCCGCACGCATGGGTCATATGTCGTCGGACAACACTTCAGTTTCCCTAAGCTCACATGGGCGTACCCGGTGTGAGAAATAAGGGTCCCCGAAGTATTCGCCAACTCCAACATTCTCCCACTTGGTGGATACTTCGCGCAAATGAGGGCCTTTCCAATATCATTCTTCTTCAATCCAATCGCAGTAGAGCACCATTCAAACTTCGCACCTGTGACGGCTTTAGTAAGGAAGTCAGAACTATTTTCTACCGTGTCAACCTTTACAAGCCGAACCTCTTTCTTCTCTACCTTTTCTCGGATGAAATGATATTGTATATCAATGTGTTTTGTGCGTGAGTGAAATGCTGGATTCTTAGCTAAATAAATAGCCCCTTGATTATCACATCTCACCTCTATGGCACCTTGCTCAAAACCGAGCTCCAAGCACAACCGCCGTAACCATACGGCC